AAAGACACTAATTTTCAGTAGTCAGTTGAGCTAAGGGCAATTACGGTGAAATGCAAAGTGGGGTCGAAACGCGTATTTTCCCAAGTATTGATCCTAGTGCTTTGTTGAGTAAACCACAGGGTCAAACTCTTAGCAATAACTATGCAAATGCAATTTCAACCAGGGACGATGTGATTAACTTGGCTGCGAAACCAGTGACTTGAACGCGGTCCCGCCACGAACAACCTGTTGGGCGCTATAGGGGGTACTGTAGCAAACAGTGCAACGACTGCGAAATCTGTTCTGTAATTTTCTATCCAAGGACCATGACTCAACGCGCGAAAACCGTCTGATGTAATGGAAGTGAGGTACGGTAGGATGCGGATACGCTTGAAGCTCTACATGGAGGACTTACTCGGTGTGCTCATTACAGAAGTGATATTTATTCGTTACAGAGCTGGTATAGGCGTTTCCCATGCATATAGCGGGCGTGGCCCTGTAGACTTTTGAACACGTTGATAAACTTGTTGAACCTCCACTTTAGAGTATTGGTTTTTGTGATCTATAGCTACCAAGCTGCCGCGCGCATACGTTGGCAAACGTCGGCAAAGCTCCGCCCGCTATACTGCGGGGAATCGACGATATACAATACAGTTATTTTACCTGTATGACGAGGACCAATTTGCTCATATATGTTCAGACATTTGCTCAGAGGGGCTATCAAATGCGATTATAATAAACTGACTCATTCGGCGATTGAGGCGTGTACGGTAAGTGTACTGCAGTCTGCCAGATTTAACGTATTTTCCCAACTTTCTGATCAGATGGGTAACTCAGTGTGTTGATTAATACAATACACGCTTCAAACAGTTATGAGCTTAGGAATAAAAAAACTCCCGGCGTGCGCAAAGTCGCCGTTTTCGCGGAATTCGCCAACTTGGCCGAATCCGCCAAATTCGCCGATTTCGCTGAGATTTTCACATTCTACTTTCATAGCTGTAATTGCAGGCCACCATGAGTGAGATATCATGGAATACTCAACGAAAACCGGATTTAATTGATTCTAAGAATTCAATTTATCTTATCTGGTCATATTTGTCGCAAAATCTCAAAAAATTAGTCTTCATTTCTCAGCGAAGCAAATTAACCTTCTTTAAACAACTAAGGATTTTGTTCCGCAAAACGAGAATCGAGCAATTAAAGTTTTTCAGTTTTGTCAGCTGTCTACCACAACTTTGCAAGCTAGAATTCTCATTGTTTCGCGCTTGTTAAAGCTTATGTTCAGATGAAAGTTTCCATGGCTGTGTAAATATATTGCCATTTTCAGTAATCAACTTTCAATTTTATACGAAAGGTCGCATCACGAAAAGGTAAAAGGAGGCGAATGATTAGGGTTTGCCGTTGAGAGTTCCCAAAGGAATAACAATTGCATGACATAACACTAAACTGAAAGTCTTATTAGTCCGTATGCTCCCTGTAAAAGCGAAATCTTTGAGCTGAATGGAACAGCTTCTTGCGTAAATGCTGTAAATTTTTTTCATATTTTGAAGCCGAAAACCCTAAGTTAGATACTTATTTGCTATGTCTGGTTTGAAACATATCAAATTCCAGAAAAGAAACTCATTATGTGTATCCTATAAGTCATAGCATAAAAATTGTGTTTTGTTTTTTGAGTACAAGACAACTGAAAAAAAATCTTTTCTTTCTAATGGTAAAATTGCTTTGTGGTATCTCTTTCTCTTTTATAAAAAGTTTCACGTATTTCAAATGAGTTAGCCATTTCTTCAAAAGTAAATTCTTCGTTCATGATATTTGCAAATAAAAAACAACCGGGTAACTTTAAACACCATTTTCCTTCCTGCTTGAGATTCAAACTTTGTCAGGAGAACTTTAACAGCGTGTAACGCTTAAAAATCTTTGCTTTTTGCCCATGAACATACAAACCTTTTTTGAATGTGTATAAAGTTGTTGAAGTAAAAACATTCGAGACTATACTGACCTTAGAGTTGGCTTGGTAATTTCACTTGCGTCAATTTTCAATGAGAAGCGTGCCTGTATTTAGCGTCCCGATGTCGAAACTACATCGAATTTCAGTCAGAATTTTCCCTTTCTTCCACAAGTTCCATCTCTTCAGAAATCCTCGTCTCTGCTCAAACTTGATTCAGCCCAGGCAGAAAGCATTGGTAGGAGTGTAGGCGAACCAAAATGGATTGTTAATGAAGTCAAGCTGATGCTATGCTTAATGAGAGCATTTGCTCAACTGTTTTACAGGCACGCCCTTAGCTTTATTTTTTTCAGATTTCTTCCTGCAACAAATAGTGTTGCCTGAACACTGCAATCAAATGTGCGTTAGTTCCTATATATTCCATTATATTCTATTTTTATACGAGGCTTCGCACGACCTGAGATTGGCTAAATTTGCGCAGAAAGTTCCCGAGCACCTTACGTGTCGCATACCGTCACCCATTCATTCTCTTGATTATCTGATAGCAGTGCAGCCACAAACACATCGTCATGGAGTATGGAATCGAACTCCGCAGTGGGCGCCGTCTCCGCGGACTACTGTCTCTGCACCTACTAGAGCGTGTCGTGTAAGGACCAGTAGCCCGCGCATGTGGCGGCCATTGGCAGAGTTTTCTCGTCTACCCTTGTCATGTAATTGGAGTGTAGGTACAGTCGGTTTCAGCTCAGTAGGACGGGTCCGCACCTTGGAAGCTTGCGAGCGCACAGCGCTGGCATTTCGCCAGGCAAAGACTGTGGAGAATAAGGAGATGCAGACATGGGTTCTTGACCGATATGATATACTGTAGTTGCGAAACCGTGCGAATGGTCGCGAGACGGTCGCCCGCCAAATCAATTTCCGCCCAAACTGGATTGGAACTTCCTATAATAGGTCAAAGATGTGAAAGACGAATAAGTATAATCGGAAGGACTTACCTTTGGTGACTATGGTTAATCTGCAACAGAAATCATATCTTCATGAATGAACAAAGTCTTACCTTCACAGCCAATACCTCAGCCGTGTATGTGAAAATCTAATGCATGTTTCTATTTAAGAAATTTCATCAAGATGCTGCTATTGTCAGTTTCCAACATCTCTTATTGAAAATGTTTTCAATCTCAAAATCAAATTCTTTGGAGCAAAACATGAGAACCGCGAGAACGCTTCGATGCTATTCGTAATACTCTAAGCGTTCCATCTACTTGGACGAAGCCAGAGTCAATGATATATGATGTGTTACATGCATTACCCTCCTTCCATATCAGAAAGCAAAGTTATGAATTGGCAAATTTTCAAGATATACAGGGCACGTTTCAAAGTTGATTCTAGGCATATAACAAATACTCGTGATGTGGAACATAATGGCGAACACAACAGCTCAAAAAAAAGCTCAAACCAAAAGGCCTAAGATTTCATAAAGATGACATGAATTTCATTTTGAAAATCTAAATTCATTTCAATAGCGCCCTCTCCCCTTTGCTCCTCAGCGATGACTTACCCTTTGATCCAACGGGATTGGCGGCTGGAAAGCGATCTGTCGTGCTCGCGACATATTCTGCGTTTCTCTCGCGAGCGTGCTCCCCGATCATTCTCTAGGCCATAAAGCCCCGCCTTCCAGCCGCCATTCCCTTAAATCAAAGGGTACATGCATACGAAACGTAAATGCGCTTGGAATTATCTCTAGAAATTTCATTCTCTAGCTCCGAGGTTAGCTTTCATGATTAATCAGATAAAATCTTAGCAGTAATTCCTCAAAAAAATATTCGCGACGATCTGAATGGAATGCAAGCCACGGCATGATTATGAGTTCTGAGAACAGCCGTAGTTAATTATTTTTTCCAACGCTAAGAGTCAATTTCATGTATAGAGCGATTTTTAACTGCGGTACCGTACTGTAGTAACAAGTGCAGTATCAAAGGCAATTGCCTCAAAACAAATGGTCTATATACTTTGGACCAATGCGAATGATCATTTAATTTAATTACTCGAATAATTCATTCGAATGCGAATTATTCGAAAACTGAATGTTTAAAAAATTCAAGTATCGATTACTCGCTAGTTGAATATTTGATGGCCATCGAATATTTATTCGATGAGCAAGGAATGTTCAAAATTTCTACGGCCATTTTTAATCAAAAATTCTATAACGATCGAATATTTCAAAATTCGATATCTATAGCGAATACGGGATTCAGAGTATCTACATCCTTTCCGATCGCCAACCTTTGAATAACATCCTGTAGGGAAGGCTTCAGTCTCTACAGTAAAAAGCAACTCACCCATGCTTTAATTATTGTGAGATCACGGAAAATTCCAACATAAATAGCAACTGCGTATAAGGTATACAAGAGTGTTACCTCTCCACAAAAAAGATCCAAGAATTTGTGTAGCAGAGCAATTTGTGTATTCTACGTACGCTGATTTTACTACACACGAGTTTAAGCTTTCCAAATGTGCAATCTTTTGAAAGTCATTGAACCTTTGTTAGGTGTACCTGGCATAGGTTGTGGAAAAAGCATTACGTATAGTGCAACCTTTATATCCTTGCAGTATATATTCATTTTCGACATTTTTAACATAATGCATGAAATGCACGCTTATGGTTTGGCTCACGTAAAATAAGAAGTATGATTATGTAGTTTCTGCGGGAAAGGAAACTTTTCTGTTATCCCTGATTAAAATTATACAATTGGCTTGAGACTTCCGGACCAGACTTTCTGCCAATGTTCAAATTCGCATGGCAGAGCTTGTTTTGCACTATCAGCAGTTACTTGCAATCCAAAAACTAGAGACTGCATTCGTAATAATGGAGTAAATTTGATACAAGCACGTCTTTGACGTGCACAAAATTGAGATTCGGATACAGCAGCAATTACTGATTTTCCCGATGATAAGAACGGGTGTTATGAAAAGAGCTCCTCGTTCCGTTTAAACTACGGCCCGATGTTACTTCAGCTACACCAACTTCGGATAGAAGTCATCGGCGATTAATAACCAAGAGAAGTTTCCCTCATTTTATTGTGAAGATAGCTTGTATTTCACACAAGAGACACAATTACTTGCAAAAATCGCAAATCTGTTTCCATGTGTAGTTCTCTTCCGCATACTAAAACAAACACACACACATCATCGGAAACTAGAAACCAATCGTTGTCGACAAACCTTGGCAAAGTTGTACTTTTCTTTTTTCTTGATTTCGTCCATCGCTTCACAGACTATTTTTGGCACTTTGGAGTCTTTCTTACACTTGTCCATCATCTTCTTGAAAAGCATCTTCCAGTCATTGGAAATAAGCAAGATGAACCCACTTTCATGTTAAACTTAGCGTTCGGATTCTCCGTTTTTAGTATGTATTGGCACCCTTCAGAGCAGAAGCGTTTTTCCATTTCATCAGCAGGAGCAGCAACGATCAACGGGAGAAAGACGAGAAGTAAGAGAAGAAGCTTCATAATGCAAACATCTCACCTGTTCGGGTCTTTTATAGCGCTGCCACCTTGATACTAATCGCTCGGATCCAAAGTCATGTCAAATTTGCAATCAGCCCATGCACTTAAGCAAAACAGAAGAGCAGAAGAATATTTAGCATAATAGCACAGTATTGATTTCCTCTATTTGAGTATTACAATCACTATCGAAGTGGGTAGCTCTATACAGGCACGGATTCAGACAATTTATACAGAAGATGTCCAAAACTAGTTCGTACTTTCTCTACATTTTTACTAATTTGCATCGAAAAGTGGCAGAGTTAGTCCTGAGTAGTTTACTTCGTTTACTGTCATGTGTACAAAGCTATAAGATCTAAAGTTGTTTGGAAATCATGAAGAGAATTATTGTAACATTCCTTAGTTGATTTCGTTTTTGGCAATTGATCATACGTAACTGCCATTATGTTCCATTTACAGCAAAAGTTTATCGCTCGTGTTTGCCATGCGCATAAATTGGCTTTCAAATCTTAAGTGACTTCATGTTTGAAAAGCGGAGCCATTAGAAATTCACTTGTCCATACCTCAAATCTCAAACATAGAAGGAATATGCATGGAACACATGGGTGAAATTTGTTTTGCCCACAAAACGATAATGTATTTGTGCAAATGGAAGGAAACTCTAATCAATCCCTGATTCTCGAGTTGGAATTAACCACATTCGTGAACTGCCTCATAAGTGCTTTTTCAAACTTTACTGCACACGTTCCTTTATTATTGTTAAATTGGTCAAAAGCGGTGTCTGGATAAGGTGGGGATTTTGGCATTCCAGCGCCATACGAATGTGGCCCCCTCAGAAACAGCATCGAGGAAGTACGAGGTTATAACGTTTGACCTAAAGCAAGACAAACGATCGGGAACTGGGGAAACCTAAGCCTTCGAGCGGGTCCTTCGACCTGTTGGACTGTTGTGCGGGAGAGTACGCATACCACCACAATCAAAATGGTGGGGTCCCGCAGCGAACTCTGCGTCTCAGCTTTGGCGGGGACCGTCAAATTTCAAATTTTAATGCTCTGGAAAGCGCATGTTCTCGAGGTTTTCGCGCCTTCTAATGTAGCGCTGCGGATAACCCTCGGCAAGTGGATTTTATAACGTGTTTTCGCCCGCACACTACCGCTAACATTTATACCTAAGTCTAAAGTAGAATTGTTCACAGCAAGAATAATACCATGATCTTCGCTTACAACAACAGCAATCTGTGTGAGAAGAAGAGGAACTGAAATAGCTCAAAAAAATGTTGTCACGCATGAAGACAGTTTTTTTAGCAAGAGGTGAAGGCCCTGACTGTAATGGTAAGTCGTCTGATCAGCACAGCCGATTATAGCTCAAGTAGAGTACAAATTCTGGGGTTTCTCCGTCTTTCTGAAGTTTTTCAGTTTTGGTTTTGATCAGTTCGATTACGGTCGAAGCTGAGGGAAAGCTTGAAAAAGTTCTGTACAAATTCAGGATTACGATAGGGAGAGTTGTTCTAGCAGCCGTTCTTGACATAAGCGATGTCGAAAAATACATTTTTTGATCACAAGAGCACCACTTCCTGGCTTGTTATTTTCAGTTTAGAGTTTGTTAGATTCCATCACACGATTAGTCTCTTTAGACTTCGTTTATCCGTTCTTCCATCCATGATATCGTTACCTTTGTCCTTGAAAACAGATAAATAAGCAGCTGTTATATTTCGTATATACTCGTCCCCATTTCAGTTTTTTCAGACATCCGCTGAACAATTTCATTTGAAGTGGAGCAGACCGGTTGCAGTGGAGCGCGGCGCCAATTACGCACACCAAACTAAGCCACACTTCACCATTCATACTACACCCACTTTCGCGCATGCCGCGCTTCACAATAATGTCCGCTGTTAAAATGGCACAGTGGGGAACTAGGATATGGGTAGGGACACATGCGCGACTCGTCAGTATAAGTACCGTAATTTCACGCGTACAAGGGGCGCGGTTTTTTTTTCAGAATTGACCAGTCCACACACCCAAAGGACTTTGCGATCCCTATATAGTGTTGCCTAATGTCTGAGAAAATCGTGCGGCTTGAGGGTTTTTTGAAACAGAGAGGAGCGGTTGAGCGGCTCACTAGAAAATTCGGAAAAGTGCGCCTTGTACGTGAAATTAGGGTAGATTGCGCCAGGAGTGCTAAAAGGCGAGCTCTTGAATTGGTGGTTGCCGTCAAGCCGTAACGCTTTGCGGAAATCTCGCACGGATTCTGAGTTGCAACCGGGCTGCACATTTATTAATCCGTTCCAAAACTGGTTGTATTCTGCCTTTTTCTTGATAAAAGTGCTGTGTTGTTTTATTGTTGTGCATAGCCCAGCATACTATATCTTTGATTCTAAACTGAGAAATTTATGGCTAGGATTATATAGGAAATGTTTCAGCCAGAGCTGACCGAGTTTATTGACCCACTTGTTTTCTACATCATTCTTAAACTCCCGGATTTCTTGCACAACTACGTCTCAGAGTAAAAATCATTTGCACCCAGGGCTTCTCACCGTGTTCAAACAAAAAAATGATCGGCGCAATTTTCGCTTTCGAATGCGTAGAAGTCAACCTGCTTCAGAAAAAAGCTGGGCCGGTAGTAATCTGGTCGAAACTCCGAGTTTGAAGCTGCGCGTTAACAGAGTTAAGTCCGAGTTTCGTTTTTGAAACTCGGAGTTTCATCCTGCTACTTACGGAGCTACTATAGTTGTTGAAGAGCCGCCATACGCTTCATGGCAAAACACTCCGACTAGGTCGGTGGTCGAACTCCCGTTGCTCTGCGCGAAGCGCCTACAAGTAGACCACTAGGCTACAGAGCACCCTAGCAAGACCTCGGACAGAGTTCACGCGATTTGATCGTCGCGATTCAATCGCTACAGACAAGTGTTACCAGTTCATTGCATGCCGACCTTCTTGAATTTCGGTTGTGATAGTTAGTCTCAATTAGTCGTGATGGAAAACTATCACAACAGAAATACAAGAAATTAACCTGCGATGAACTCGTAACACTTGTCAGTAGCGATCGAATCGCGATGATCAAATCATTCTTAACCCCCACTTACGATATCATCTTCTATTCAGAAAATACTAGCCCCAAAGGATTGATTATCCCCAGCTGCATATAGGATAACTAGCGAAGGTGACTGCTTTATTGACAAAGCATAATTTGAGCGTTAAAATTCAGCTAAAAGTACCGTTACCACCGTTATGCACCTTGGGGATTCACCCTGTCGAACCTACTTCTGCAGCGGTGTCGGTCTTGAATTTGCTAACCCGATGCGTGATCTTGGTGTCATGATTGACGCCTCCCTTTCATTCAGATCTCATATCGATCTTGTTATCAAAAAGTCTTCCGCAACTCTTTTTACTATTTTTCGTAGCATACATAGCAATGATCCTGAGGTTTTTTTGAGGCTCTACAAAAGCTATGTCTTGCCGCATCTCGAATATGCCTCGCCTATTTGGAGTCCATTTACAAAAGGAAACATCGAAAGAGTCGAAAAAATCCAAAAAACGTTCACTAGAATATTATTCTATAGATGTTTTCCCAATCCTAATTACCCACAAGCTCTACCCTCTTATCGGTTACGGTTAAATAAACTAAACCTGCACAGCCTACTGTATAGACGCGTTCTGAATGATCTGACTTTGTGTTTTCGAATTCTGCGCTTAGAAACAAGACTCAAAGCTAGCAAGTTTTGGATATTCAGACCGTGTAGCGAACGATCAGGTAGGTTTGGTCTTTACTATCGCAAATTGGGAAAAAAACGATTTTTGATGACTTTCAACTCTTTTATTTGTCGAACAACCCGATGGTTTTCGGTCCTACCGGATTACATCGTTTCCAGTGAAAACTCCAAAATATTCAAAAGAAGATTACAAAATATTAATGTGTTACAGCTACTCGATATCTGTGATTTTTAGATGTTATGAGTACGTGCGCCATCCACCATTGTTCCAACCACCCTCCAAGCCTCGCCAAGCCGTTACCTAGTCAAGTCTTCCGTACCTGGTCACGTCGCCCACTTTGTCGAGTCGCCATACCTCGTCTGGTCTCTTACTCCTCCCCAAGTCGTGGTACCTCGTCAAGTCGCTCATTCTTGGCCAAGTCGTATATACCTCGTCAAGTCGTCAAGTCGTCAAGTCGCCCACACCTCACAAACCCTCCATACCTCGTCAAATCTTCAACCAGTCTACGTAGCAAATGGATTTCGCTTCATTTTTTGATAGACAAAAATTGAGTCATTTTTCCCAGCTATTTATTTTTGTTTGTTCACTGCCACTAACTTAGACACTCTACTTCATGATATTAGCTTGCCTTGTATGTCAGGGTACATGATTCTAACTCTTGTCTTCCTATCATAGTCACACCTAAGCGCCCAGGTTACTTTCGCTTATGCCTTATTCCTATGCCTTACTGACAAACCTTAACTGGCACTTCTACTTAGAGTCTTGCTATACTCCAAAAGGTATACTCATCTGGGGTCTGTCAGCTAGTTTCCGCCCGTAAGCTCGCTGGCGCTCAAAAAGGGGTTTCAGAATAATTTTGGAGGATGCAATACTCTCCAGTCATTCTTTGTCTCTTTGCACTCATCAGGCATTTTGAACAGATTTCGCTATATCTTAAAGGGCCTTAGGTTAGTGGATTGCTATACGTCCATCGTTTATTTCCCTGAATCCATGGACAAGCTGTTATGTTCGACGTGTTAGAGTTTTATTTTTTGTTGTTCTATGGTGCACCGTGAGTGTAAACTAAAATAAAATAAAATAAAATAAAATAAAAGCTCTCAAACTCGAACATATGTAAAACGTAAAAAGAATTGATAAAACGCATTATGAAATCATCAGCAAATCACCATCCCCTCGGCTGGCTGCAGTGTCGCACCGAGGGGGCGCCCTCCATCCCGAGAATGGGTCGCGAAATTTTCGAAATTTATTTACGTAGGTTTTAAAGATGTGGTGGCTTGTTTATTTATGTAGATAATTAAAATAATTTTTAAAATTTTTTAGAAATCCACATTAGCCCTGTAAAAAAATTTTCGGAGGCGTGGCCCTCGCCACGCCCCCTTTATCTTTATTTTCGGAGTTATGGGGTCGCAAAAGCACCAAAAAAGAAGAGAAAAAAAAGAAAGAAGAGAGAAAGAGAGCACCCCAAAAATTTTTTCGGAGTGCGTGGCTAACGTCACGCACCTTCATTCGCACCTCTCACTGGCTACGAAGTCGTGAAGGCAATGTGTTCCTATTTATTTTATTAGAATAACTGTTATCTATCTGTTTTCTTTGAATGCGACCGTCTCTTTATTGATTATAGCCATAACTCGCGAAAAATCAAAGAATATCTCAAAAGAAAAAACTTCAAGGGGTGACTAAGGCCTTCTATACCCCGGTTTTCGAAAGTGCCGGCCAAATTTACAGGTGATGCAATCAGTCAATATGATTTGGAATTTGTGTGTTAACCAACTTGATACCCAAAAAAATCTCGCATTTGTTACACCTGCCCAAGAAATGGAAATTTTGATAAAAACTGCGGCGAATGCTGACCAAATTGTAGATATTCTCAAAATTTCAACTGATAATGAGTAAATGTATTCTTCAGAGTCTGGAAAAAATTGTTTTTTCTTGAGGCCCGTCATTCGTTCAGATAAGCCTATCTGCTTTTTGACTTGCACGACTTCCAAACTTACTGCTGTGCTTTCCTGTAACCTGCATTATAGTGAAAATTTTCGCCTCGCCTTCATCAACGAGGAGGCGAAGCTGTGCCAAAAAGTTGCGGACAAGTAGTCTTTCTTCTTTCATCGTTCATTTTCGGATGAAAAACAAAGATAAAAAATGAAGGGTTGAATGAAGTGATAGAGCTCTTCAAGAGCTACGATTCACACACTGCGCTTTTTGGAAGAAATGAATTTTAAAAAATGCAAAAGTCTTTTTTCAAAGAAAGTCCGAAAATGGCAGCGTCATAATGTCGCGGACAATAATTCTTCGAACGCGAAAATTTTCCTCTACGTATTTTTTGGGGCAAGCAAAATTTTCCTGAGAGATAATCATACTATATTTTAGAGCTTACCGAGGACAATAATCAGATAGTGGTTACTTTAAAAAAACCCAAGCTTGAGTTTTATTTTGCTTTTTTCCAAAAAATAACTTCTAATTCCCTTTTGCAAGCCTAAAGATTTCACAGATAAGGTGAAAAAGCGCAGCCTTGGAGGTGAATGGAGTGAAAGCTCTTATCAACACTAAAACAATCTTAGAGCTCCGAAATGGACCTACTACAAGAAAATTGACAATTTTGAACTTCCAGGATGGAACCGGTGGCAAAATGAGCTTTGCTCAACTTTAACTGAAAAATCCTTAGTCTACCATTAAAGCACCTCCATTTTGTCGGGACACTGCCATTAAATCTATTTACTGATATGACGTCTCTGCGAGAAGTTGTAAGTTCCAAATATTTATTTTTGAGTCCGTCATTTGGAATAAAATCACTGATGTTTATCATAAAATATTGCACATAATTTATACAAGGAAAAATAAACTTATAATTGAAAGGCTGCTCTGGGCAATTTTGAATGCGTTATCTGGAATTTTTTGTGCAAGACTTATGTTTCAACTTAATATGTCCATAATCATATGGTCAGAAGAATTAAAATGAATTTCTTCAAGGATTCTTGTGATCATCAATGTTTCCTCTTTGAAAATTTTTCAAATAAAAACTCGTGTAAATTTCTAAAATGGTATACTACATAACTTGCAAAAAATGTTTAGTTTATGTCTCTAATGCTTTTTCGCTCTTCACGCAGTTTGCGTTATAAAAATTGGAAGTAATCTTTCATGTGATTTATAGGTTCATAATGTTGTCATTCAACAGGAAATGGTGTCATTTATTTTTCACTGAAAAAATCTTCTTGACTGCGAACTTCTTTACCCCCAATACGGTACAGGTAGCTTTAGAACAAAAATGAAAAATCGTTCGATATTACACTTGCCGTCAAATTTCTGGGAGTGTAATGTGTACGAAATTTCAAAGGCACTCCAAAAATTCTGATTTCTAAAGTATTCTTTTGGCACTCCTTTAAAATCCTCTATTATAGGCTTTTGTAGACAAAAATTCAAGCTTTTTGATGCTACTTTCGATTTTCATCGATGTCAAAGCTTAACTCATCAAATTTTGAAACTTATCACAGTATGGTCTTCATTAGGAGTCGTTTTGCTCAAAGTGGCAGCACTTCGAAGAAATTCCTAGGAAATGCCCAGAAACTTCTTTCACAAACTATTATCATGCTAAATGTGGTGGTTAGATTACGATAGATCATTTCAAACACAGAGGCATTTATCCCAGTATTGTGATAGTCAATTAGAAAATCTCTACCAAAAATTTCTTTTTCAAACCTATTTGAGATTGATTTTGTTTTACGGCATGCTGATGGGTAATTTGACAGGGTATACTCCAGAATAAAATGTTTGTAAAAAGCGCATAAAAAGACGATTTTTCCAGATTGCGGTTTTCGACCTTGTTCTGATGTCTTCAAAAATCTAAAGAGTGAAAAATCGTCTACATGAATAAACATATGTGTTTATTTTTCTCATAAATGCATCGACTTACGTCACTTCTTTGCTGCAGAAATGAGCATGGAAGAAAGAAAGACATGGCACAGAGAAAAAGGCAAAAGAAATATTTGAAGCTATGTACAAATTGGGGCTTAGAGGGAAGCCTAAAGCACTGATTTGATATCTCGAAAATCCAGCGGGACTTTTGCATTTAGGCGTAGACTTTCACATGTCGTTGAATTCTGAGTTCCAACTCATAGAGATGCTCATCTTGGACTTCTGGGAACAATAAGCGCACAGTTCGGCCAATTTAAGGAGATATCTAAATGCGAAATTTACAAAAAATTTTTTGGAGAAAAGGTGTTTAGGAGGGGGAGTCAAAGTGAAACTCACTCAAAATTTGGCCTCGCACATCCTTTAGCTCGTCGAATTTCTGGCCTTTTGCTCCAGATTTGCATCACTGAGATAGAGCTCGTTGTTCAAATCAGCTTTGCAAATCCAAGCAGTGATGATTTTGCCAGATTCGGCCAGTTCTACAGGAGTTCTCACAAATTCATAGCCATTGTTGATCTGAAATTAAGCAATTTTCATACCAATCAATAAAATCGATATTCGACATACTTCTCGTTCCCAGAGGTGAACAAATGCTTGTTTGATATTTTTCCTTCCTGAACTTCAAAAATAACACCAGTAGCGCAAGAGTCCTCATTCTCAACAAGTGTAGCAACTCGTCCAGGCTGAAAATGATTGAAATTGGCGTTAAAAACACGAAAATCAACTTTTCCCTCTTTTTTTTTTTTGAGAGAAAGTAATTTGCAGGTACAGCTGTCCTCACAATCACCTTCACCTGCACTAGTGCAGGTGAAGGTGATTGTTTGTCTCCCGCTGAGGACAGCTGTACTTGCGCCTAAGTTCTAGTGCAAATTTATGTAGGCCTATGTTGTCCTGACAATATATTGCCCAATAGCTTAATTTGCCTTTAATGTTTTTTCAACGATAAATTAACAGGAGTGAGAATCAACTCAATTTTCCATGTCTTCGGAGTGTGCAGTTTCTTGGTTTGCAATTTTTGAACTGCAGTAATTATCCGCCGAGCCATTATCAAGACACCTCCCCTAATCAGTGTGCGCAAATTTGTATGTCCCATGAGTTTATCTTTGATTTTTTTTACCGCAACAAATTGCTTCTTCTTAGACTGTTGAAAGAATACGTGTATTAGTCGATTAGACAAATTAAGCTCCACAAACCCTTTCATAATTCACGCCAAGGTTGTTGCGATTAAAGTTTCAAAATTCAAAGAGTTTCAAATGCTTAGAAAATGAAGAAAAAATCGTATTTCAGCCTGAAAAAATCTTGAGCAGCTTCAGTTACTTCAAGCATACACTCCCCGACTTTGTACTCGCACATGTAGCTGCTGCATTTTTTGACTGCCTAAAAAGCTGGAAAACGAAATTTGGCATGTTTCCAAAGAGACACTGTTGAGATGTTCTTACATAGAATTCAATATCACAAACTTTTGCGCATAACCATGACTTTTCAGCCTTTTAGCTCTCTTTCAAAATAATTATTGAATTTAGCATAAAAATGAAGAAAATGCAACATTTTCTGATTTTTTTCCGCATTCTTACCTTATTTTGACTCTCAGTTTCTACATGTAAAACATGCAGCAACAGCACATGTAAATGTCACAAGGAAGGATGGACAACAAGTCAGAGATCCGTAGGATTTTTTTGGGCGGAGATTCAATTCTTAAAGCATTCGGAAAATTTATGCACTTCGACCCCGAACATCATGCAGATCAAACTATTTGTATTAATGTATTAGATTGGTGCAAAAGTTTTGTCAGTTTTTTCAATCCATCGGCAAGCACGCTAGAATGAATATAAACAAACACTTCAGAATCTAGAATGAATATAAACAAACACTTCAGAATGAGTCCGATGCAGATTTTCTTCCTCTTTCCAGCTGCTAAACTCCCACTGTCTTTTGTTGCGAGAGTGACGAGATATTTGCTGGAAATTACAACTATTCGTTTTTACCATGTCCAACTTTCACTAATTTTCAAAATTTTTGTATGAGACTTCCGGAGGAGCCCTAATAACCTCCAGATAGGCAAAATCTTTTGCCATCTTAGACAAATTTTTTTCTTTTTACAGCTGCTTTTTTAGATTTTTGCTAAATAATTTTCTAAAAGTCTTGTGTTTTGGAAAAACGGCATAACCTGTTATAGAACCAAACATTGCAAAACTTAGAAAGTACTGAGGTTTCAACACTCGATTATTACTATTGCTACCATTACAAAGTAAATGAGCGATTTTCGCTCTAAATTGTGAAGATTCTGAAACATAGGTTACGTCAGAGCGCACTCCTGAAATTGAGAAATACTGCGATTTTCCCCACAAATTTCGCCTGTCTCCGCAAAAAAAGACAAGTTTTAGAAGGAGGAGGAAAAGTTACATCATGACGACTGAAGTGTTTGATACTTTATGTTCTACGAAGTTGAAACAGGCTGAATGTAAAATTTGGTCACTTTAGAAAATAAATTGTAGAAATTCTGAAAGACAATCTATAAAGCTACAAAAAAATGCTTCTGTTGGCAATGTTAAAAACGAGTGGTTGTAATTTCCAGCAAATATCTCGCCACTCTCGCAACGAAACACAATGGGAGTTTGGTATCTGGAAAGAGGAAAAATTTCTGCATTTCTGCATCGGATACATTTTGAAGTGTTTGTTTATCTTCATTTTAGCGTGTTTGACGATGAATTGAAAAAACTGTCAAAACTTTTGCACCAACCTAATATGAAAGCAGAGCTTGCTTTGCATTATCGAGTAGTTAATTGTTCGTAAATCCAAAAAGGAGGCTAATTCAAACAGCAACGAGCAGCGCAGATTCAAAGGCAACGAGATATAATGCATCCCTTCGCAAACCATCCCCTCCCTCTCAGCGGTAATATAGCGCACACAGGCTTTAGAAGAGCTCAAAAAGTTCCCAAAGATTTCATAAGTTATGTGATTTCCAGAAGTTTTCAAGAAGTTTTTCATCTTTGCAGTGCTTAACGAGAAATACTCGAAAAGTAAGAGGAGCTCCATGCTACAGATCTAATCGGCTCTTTCAAAGCGCTGCCACTTTTATGATATATTATTCAAAATAAATATTATGACCCCAAAAATTAGCGTATAAACTATCTTAAACGGAAGAGCAAAAGATTATTAAGGATGATCGCTTTGTGTTGATTTCTCCATTTGGGTACTACAATTACGGTGAGATCGAAGTGCAAAGTAGCTACATACAAGCTATAAATCGCAGGTTCTCATATGTACAGATCTGGTAAAATAGCTAGTTTTGACATTTTGGTGATTCTCATCGAAAAGCTGCAAAATTAGCCGTGAATTGTTTTCTTCGTTTGTTGGTATTTTTTACAAGGATATCAGATCCTTTCTTGTCCAGGAATCATGAACAAAGCATCTATTTGCAGGAATTTTGATCGAGTTTGTATTCATCATTTTTTAATGAATATCCGCTTGCCATTAGTTTCTGTTTACAACAAGTCTCCATATTCTTTATGTGCATAGAAATAACTTTCAAATGCACACCAAGGTCCTGCTTGAGAATACATAATTTACAAATTTTGAACATCTTGTCTTCAGCTTTAATTTCACAGATAGAAGGAACAATTGTATTCTATTCAAGAAAAATATAGCGGTAGTATGTGGAAATGTAATAGTGTATCTGTGAGCAAGTTGGGATTTTTCTAGGATTTTTTCAGATGGATTTACGATTTTCTCTCTATTTCTTGGGGGGTTGGATCCTCTAAGTTTTTTGCTTAAAATTCGAGTTGGAATTTCTGCGGGAAAGAAAACTTTTATGTTATCCCTGATTGAAATTATGCAGATTGGCGTGAAACTTTCCGATCAGACTTTCTCAAATGTTCAAATCCACATGGCAAAGCTTATTTTGCACTATAAGAAGTCACTTGTTCAAAAATCAGAGACAAGCATTCGTGATGACTAATAAAATTTAATACAACACGTTTTTGGCGTGCACAAAAATGAGATTCGATTACAGCAGTATTTACTGATTTATCCTACGTTATGAACCGGTTTTATGCAAGAGCTTCTTTTTTGTTTAAACTGCGTTATGAAGACTATATTAGAAGAGTAGCACCTCGAAACAAATGGTTTTGACACTTTGCTCCAGCTTCCGCCATTTCCGTCGCACATATTGTTGTTACCTTACACTACTTCGGAAACTGAGAGATTGCTGCTTTTCTTGCAGTCGTGGCCATGCACGGTTCCCGATAAACATTTTTGAAGCACAAGTGAAATATGGTGCACTTTCTTGTCGAGTCATCAATTGCACGAATTGGCCGTAGATTGCGGAGCACACGCGGCGCGGCCGCGTCAGTAAAGCACGATTTGTACAATCGCGAATTGTACCGATACAAGCGTTTGACCGCGCGGCTTCTGCTCCGCAATTTACGGCTAATCCAAACACTCGACGGTATGTGGAGTTTTCGGACGTGCAGAAATAAATGAAATATATCAGCGTACAAATGCAATTTGAGCGGCTTGATTGATGTTACTTCAGCCACCCACTTCGGTTCGAGGCCATCCGACTGCTAACTAGGAGTTGTTTCTTTCACTTTATTGTGAAAATAACTTGCATTTCACACAAGAGACACAATTATTAGGTCGCAAAGAATGTTCCCGGGCACTTGCGAGAATTTTTTTCAAATCACTGTAACTTCAAGCAGTTTGGGAGTTCTTTTTTTTGAGAGCAAGTTTTTTTGACTTTTTTTTGAAAGCTTTTTTTGATTTGCAGTCATCGCAAACTTGTTTCCATGTGTAGAACTTGACCGAAAACTAAAAACACACATCATCGAAAACTAGAAGCTCATAGTTGTCGGCAAACCTTCAAAAGTGTGTCATCCATGTTCACCAAATCACAGACTACTTTCGGTACTTTGGAATCCTTCTTGCACTTGTCCGCCATTTTCTTGAAAAGCATCTTTTAGTCATTGGAAATAAGCAAGATAAACCCACCTTCACGTTGAACTTAGCTTTTGGACCCTCCGTTTTTAGTACGTATGGGCACCCTTCTTTGCAGAAGCGTTCATAGTCTTTTCTATCGAAGATGCGTTTAAAATATTCATCAGTCTCAGCATCAGAAAAAGCTTCGCCATCATCATCATCAGCAGCAACAGCAATGCTCAACGGGAGGAAGACGAGAAGTAAGAGAAGAAGCTTCATAATGCAAATATCTCACCTGATCGGGTCTTTTATAGCGCTGCCACCTTGATGCTATATTGCTTAAAGTTAAAGCTACGTCAAATTCAATCAGCCCATGCACTTAAGCAAAACAGAAGAGCAGAAAAATATTTAGCATAATAGCATAGTATTGATTTCCTCTATTTGGGTATTACAATCACTATCGGAGTGGATTGCTCTATACAGGCACGGATTCAGACAATTTATATAGAAGATGTCCAAAACTCGTTCGTACTTTCTCTATATTTCTACTAATTTGCATCGAAAAGTTGCAGAGTTAGTCCTGAGTTGTTTACTTCGTTTACTGCCATGTGTACAAGGCTATAAGATCTAAAGTTGTTTGGAAATCATGAAGAGAATTATTGTAACATCTCTCAGTTGATTTCGTTTTTGGCAATTGATCATTCTTTAGTGTAACTGCCATTATGTTCAATTTACAGCAAAAGTTTATCGCTCGTTTGTCATGCGCATAAATTGGCTTTCAAATCTTAAGTGACTTCATGTTTGAAAAGCGGGGCCATTAGAAGTCACTTGCCCATAATACAAATCTCAAACATAGAAGGAACATTATGCATGGAATACATGGGTGAAATTTGTTTTGCCCACAAAACGATAATGTATTTGTGCAAATGGAAGGAAACTTTAATCAATCCCTTCTCGAGTTGGAATTAGCCACATTCGTTAACTGCCTGATAAGTGCTTGTTCAAACTTTATGGCACACGTTCCTTTATTATTAGGTTGTCCGGAAATTAATGTTCACATAAGACATCTATATACGCCCGCTCTATATACGATTGCATAGAAGTCAATCTGCTTTAGAAAAAAGCTGGTTCTAAGAGCAAACGCTTGCTCATCAACAAAGAAAGCCATAGGATCAGCTGGTCTTCCAACAAGTGAGGCGAAATTACTGCGATAACGCATGATTGTTAATACTAATGCAAAGAACATTGCTATGAGATTGCATGCTTTCGTTCCACATGACTGATTTTTGTAAAACACAAAATTCTGTTATATCGACAGTATGAGTTGAATGTCAAGTGTGACGGGAAAGATAGAAGAAGATGGAGCTGATTTGAAATCTGGAGGAAGTTTCTAAACAATCGCATAGAGAAATATTAGATTGTTGCAAAAATAATGTCGTTTTGCGCGATTTTACTTTGGAAGGCTATAACTTTGTCCAGTCTTCATATTTTCGAATGCAGTCAAGACCATCAGAAACAGCAAACCTTTCGTAATTTAGTGCATATTTGCTCATACTGATGTCACAAACGGGAAGAAACCATGCTTTAAAAAACTGAAAGTTTATTTTTTGAAAACCTCGTCTTTGAGAGCTTACAACTCCCTTCTAGTTTTGTTCGTATGGCTGGCTATCAGCTTATCTTGTAGCCGCAGGCACAAGTTTACGTGTGTATAGAAAAGACTCTAACGAAGACGTTCTGCGAGAAGAAAAGATAAAAATCCAAAAATGTTCACTTTTTTGAGCCCGCTTGCTATAGACTTGTAAGCGCCAAATTATGAAAATTTGGAATTGTTAGCGCGCAGAATAGCTAAATTTCTCTTCAAATATTGTAGTTAAGGTGTGCTAATCTAAAGCTTACAGAAATGGGCGAACCTTTGGCGATTACCTTAATTATGAGAAATTTCTGACCCAAAAAGTGACAGCACCATGTATCTATTTCAAGGCGTCAATTTCTCCGTTCAGTTATCTCCAAAAATCTACATAAGCACGCAGTAGGAGTGCCAAAAGAATACTTAAGAAATCAAAATTTTTGGAGTGCCTTTGAAATTTCGTACACATTACACTCCCAGAAATTTGACGGCAAGTGTAATATCGAACGATTTTTCATTTTTGTTCTAGAGCTACCTGTGCCATATTTTGGGGTAACGAAAGTTCCAGCCAAGGATTTCTTAGTGAAAAGTACATGAGACCATTTCCTGATACTGTAACAACAATATGAACCTATTCACATGACAGCTCACTTCCATTTTTTATAATGCAAATATGCGTGAAGAGCGAAAAAGCATTAAAGACATAAACTAAACATTTTTTGCAAGCTATGTACTAAATCATTTTAGAAAAATTACATAAGTTATTTCTTTGCGCATCTTATGCTTCAAGCGTGCTACAAAAGCTAAAGTAGCATATAAACTCTGGAACATCATAACTATTTTTTTTTTTTTACAAATAAGCCAGTTTAGAGCACAATGAAGTGCTACAATGACTTCAGTTTCGAAATTCGTTGAAAGTAGGAGACTTCCCAATTGCCAGTTTAACACAGATTCTCCTTGCAGATTTAAGAACTTTCTCCAGTTGTTGTCGATGTCGACGATCATCAGCCTTCTATCTCAGCTGAGGGTGTTCTCCTGTTTATTTTCTCAGTGCTCGCCTGCTAGGGACCACATGTCATCGCTCCCTGTGTCGTTGAAGTGCTGATTTGGGTAATCTGAGGGGGGGGGGGAGAGTGGTGATATGGTGGTAAATCATGCGCTAATGATGGCTAGTTGCGGCTCACAAAGAAAGCATTTGATACTATACCCGATGCTGAGAAAGTGTTCCTAAAAAATGATTGTAAACCAAGCTGAAAAAATTTTCAAAGAGCAAAATTTAATCACAAGAATCTTTGAAAACTTCTATTCTGATCCTTCTGACCATATGATTATCGACATATTATGTTGGAACATAAGTCTGGCACAAAAAATTCCAGAAAATAGATTGAAATGTCCAGAGCAGCCTTTCAACTGTAAGTATCTTTTTCATTGTATAACTTATATGCAATATTTTATGATATAAATTAGTGATTTTATTCCAAATGACAAAACACAAAAATAAAAATTTGGAATTTACAACTTCTCGCAGAGACGTTATATCCTAAATAGCCTTAAAGGTAGTGTCCCGACAAGATGGAGGTGCTTGTAGTAGGCTAAGGATTTTTCAGTTAAAGTTGAGCGAAGCTCATTTGGCCAACGGTCCCATCCTGGAAGTTCAAAACTGTCAATTTTCTTGTAATAGGTCCATTTCGGAGCTCTATCTAGTGTTGATAAGAGCCTTCACTCCATTCACCTCCAAGGGCGCTTTTTCACCCTATCCATGAAATCTCCCAAACTTCCCAAACTCATTCTTTTGCATATCATCGTGTTGCGGAAGTCATGCTCTTTCGAATGAGCCTATGCGCAGGCTTGTAGAATGACCGCAGGTCGAGCTACAAACCTGCAAGCGGTGCAGCTCAGCGGTAAGATGCAGGTGGGTCATGTGCACACACTGTCAAGAGCCATTTTCAGCAAAGAAACTGACCGGTACATATCCGATGCATAGAAGATGGCAAAGAGCATCTATTTTATCCGAATAGCTTTGTTGGGATGCCTTGAATAGGCTTCCATGTGGAGAAATTTGGCTTGCAAAAGGAATTAGAAGTTATTTTTTGGAAAAACGCAAAATAAAACTCAAGCTTGGGTTTTTTTAGAAGTAACCACTATCTGATTATTGTCCTCGGTGAGCTCTAAAATAATCTCTCAGGAAAATTTTGTTTGCCTCAAAAAATACGTAAAGGAAAATTTTCGCGTTCGCACAATTACTGTTTGCGACATTATGACGCTGCCATTTTCGGACTTTCTTCAAGAAAAGATTTTTAAGTTTTTTAGAATTCATTTCTTCCAGAAAGCGCAATGTGTCGATTGTAGCTTTTGAAGAGCTCTATCACTCATGCCCCTCATTTTTTCATCTTTCTTTTCCATCCGAAAATGAGCGATGAAAAAAGAAAGACTACTTGTCCGCAACTTTTTGGCACAGCTCCGCCTCCGCGTTGATATAGACGAGGCGAAAATATTCACTATGATGCAGATTACAGACAGCAGCAAGTTAGGAAGTCATGCAAGTCAAAAAGCAGATAGGCTTATCTGAACGAATGACGGGCCTCAAGAAAAAGTAATTTTTTCCAAACTCTGAAGAATACATTTACTCATTATTAGTTGAAATTTTGAGAAGATCTACAATTTTGATCAGCATTCGCTGCAGCTTTTATTAAAATTTCCATTTCTTGGGCAGGTGTAACAAATGCGAGATTTTTCTTGGGTATCAAGTTAGTTAACACAGATTCCAAATCATATTGACTGATTGCATCACCTGTAAATTTGGCCGCACTTTTGAAAACCGGGACAATCCCTTTGTATTAGAAGATTTTTGGGGAGTGGGAGGGGGGGGGGGAGGGAGGGGGGGAGGGAAGAGGAAAAGGGAAGAAGCGCGATAAATACTCTTCTTATTGTTAGGTATAGAGGGCGTTAATCACCCCTTGAAGTTCCTTCTTTTGAGGCATTCTTTGATTTTTCGCGAGTTATGGCTATAGGACAGTCGCTTCCAAAGAAAATCAGATAGATAACAACTGTTCTAATGAAATAGATAAGAACACACTGCCTTCACGACTTCGTAGCCAGTGAGAGCATTGGCAGAGATTTTGCGACTCAATTATGAGGGGGGGGGGGCTCTGGCTCTTAATTTATTTTAGAATAATTCTTCAAAAATTTTTTGGAGATCCGTAAACTCCTCCATTTTCAATGAAATTGCTTGAAATATTATAAATTAGAAAGTTAAATTTGTCATATGGCGACAACAGACCTGTTGAAGGCAAACACGCGCTGCATTTTCTAACCTTTAATCACCGAAAAGTTGAAAAGCCCAAAAATTTTTAACTTTAGTTCCTTATTCGTTTTCATAACGTAGGACCTAGCTTGTGTCTATTTGCTGATATGAATTCTCTGCGAGAAGCCTAAGTTCCAAATTTTTATTTTTAGGATTTGTCATTCGAAATAAAATCACTCATGTATACCATAAAATATTTACAATAATTTATACAAAGTAAAAGATACGATAAGATAGATAGTTCGAAACGGTGTTCTGGGCATTCTTAGATGCATTTTTGGAATTTTTGGTGCAACTTATGTTCCAACTCAATGCCTCCATGACAATCATGTGGCCAGAAGAATTAGAGTAGAATCTTCAAGATTTTGATCA